CGGTGTGGCTATCGGGGGCTCGGGCGGCGGCATTGGCATCGGCCTCAGCGGAGGTAGATCTGAAGGGATTCGGGGCGTCAGCATCCACCCGGAGCTCCTCAAGCCCCTCTGCGTGGGGGTCGACCCTGAGGAGTGCCAAGTGCGGACCCATGAGAAAGAGCAGATCAAGAACCTCAACAACCAGTTCGCCTGCTTCATTGACAAGGTGAGACCCCGCTTCCCTCCGCGCAGGTTGTTTGTCTCATGTCTCTAGGCTCTGACGGATGGATTGTCTCTAGAGAGACAATGTCGGTAGCTATTTTCTCCTGGCACCTCGATATTGTAAACATTTCTGATAGACCATGGTGGTCCTGACCCGGAGACTGTTTGGATTTAAGCCTTGCACCAAGGCAACCGCACCGGTATTTTACCTTTTGATGGTCACCAATCTGCTAAATAGCTAAATCAGGAGCAGCTCCGGGGATACAGTAAATCAAAACCTGTGAGAAAAGAGATGGAGACACGGAAATGTAAAAAGGCAAAATGGGAAGTTTTAGTACAAATGTATAATCTGACATTGCTATCATACCTCTATAAACTCCAAAGGACTTTTGCATTTTTAAAGTAGTTTGTGTGATGTAGAAAGACAGATGTCTAGCTAAAATGAGATGAGCAATTTTAACTTCTCTGTCCCTCCACTCTGAATGAAATGATTTGGTGATTTCCTAAACAGATGTAATTTATCATTGTTTTCTTAGCTAAGCTTAGGTTTTCATTACTGTTTAGAGATGTGTTATAGGAAATGATTTTTCAAATGGCAGAGAAACCTTTGCTCTGGCTGATCTTGATTTTCCTTGTGAGTTGTTCTGCAGCTGGAAAAACCAAACCCACGTAAGAGGAGCAACTCCGCTTCCTCCCATTTGAAAAATGACTTATTCATGATCCATAAAGGTTCTCAAGTACTAGAGAGCTCTTTAATCTAGAAGTGAAAGGCATGATGAATATCCGTGGTTAGAGTTGAAATCAGATACATTTAAATGAGATCCTGGATGGAGCTTTTAGTGCTGCGAAAGACTCGTTACTGTACTCAGCCCATCAGGGGAGGCAGCGGATGCTCCACCAGCCAGTCGTCGCAGGGGAAGAGGTGGTGTTTGGCTGAACTGAGCTTTGGTCAAACAGATGATTGGCCTCAACACAGAGCAAACGCACCAACGTTGTTCAGCCTGTGATACGAGTCCTGGGTGGGACCGGGTTTAGCTCAGAGAAGATGCTGGTCTCACTCAGGCTGCTGAGAAATCAGCGCTTAACCATTTTCATTTCTGATTTTATTTTTACTTTTTCCTTTTGGAAGTGGAGAAACCCAAAGCGCCTTTGCCTGGGACAAGAGGGGGTTGCGTGACTCTCGCATCTCTTGCTTCCCCAGGTCCGGCTGCTGGAGCAGCAGAACAAGGTGCTGACCACCAAGTGGGAGCTGCTGCAGCAGTATGTCCTCCCAGCCTCCAGGAGAAACCTGGAGCCCGTTTTCGAGAACTTCATCTGCAACCTGAGGAAGCAGCTGGAGTGTGTGCTGGGGGAGCGAGAGAGGCTGGAAAACGAGGAGCGGTGCCTCAGGGACCTGGTTCAAGAGTACAAGTGCAAGTAAGTAGTACGCAGAGAGACGCTGCAGACCGGGGTGTTTGCTGGCCTGAGCGGTGTTTCTGAGCGTGAAGCCAATGCAATTGCAAAAATGGGGGCACAGGAGGGGAGCAGGGCAGGGCATACCAGTACTGGGCTGGTTTCCTGTACTGGGGTCCCACTGCTGTACCTCAGATGCTGGTGATGGACTGGGAGAGCTCTTCAACCACAGTGTTTCCTTAGGGAGAGGGACAGGGAACCGCTTTTCCTCTCCCTAATGCTCCTGCACACCATCGTGGTTTGCCATATCAAATCTCCCACATCATTTTTGCCTGTGGCTCCCCCAAATCTCATGTCCCCGGTACCATCCGTTCCCCCAAAACCCTCAGCCTATTTGTCTCCAGCCCACGCTTTATCCACATCGTCTCTGTTGAGGTTCATTCTCTCTTCCCAGAGGGAATGTGGGAATTGGTTTTTTAATCTAAGCTGCAGATATTCCTTAATAGCTCCCTGTGTGCTCTGCTAAGCCACGAACCAGGACACTTGGTGGTTGGTGGGCTACAGCACCGGATAAAAGAGTAATCCATTCTCCAGGGATCTTACAGGCAAGCATCTCAGATGTTTTTTCTTGTTGAGCCACCACCAAGAAGGTCAGACTCATAGAATCATGGAATCATCTTGTGAAAGTTCTTCTAGGTCCCAATTACTTGGTCATTACGCACTGGCTTTCTTTCCCATTGCACCTGGGAGTTTCAGGGGTTGCTCAAGCTCCTGACCTCCCTTGGGGCATTTTGGCCACAGTCTCCCCATAAACACTCAGAGCAGAGTCCTGGATGCTTCAGAAAAACATCACACAAAGCAGCAGGGCTGGAAGCAGCAATCCAAGCCTTCAGCTGAGGAACAGGGTTTTGCATTTCTAGTGGTTTGGCCTGATTTACTGCCATCTCGCTCCAGCCACCGATACTGCTGGCGTGGACTACTTAAAACTGCTGAACAAAGCCCAGTGGGGAGGAAAGAAACAGCAACAAAGCAAAAATCAAAAAGGAGGTACAAAGGGAATAGGGAGAGGCTCTGGTTTTAATCACACTTCACACGTTCTGCATTGGCCGCTTGGGTGGGGGGGGACGGGACCCCCGGGGCTCAGCATCCCACCCCTCTCCTTTCCTCCTGCAGATATGAAGATGAGATCAACAAGCGCACGGCTGCGGAGAACGAGTTTGTGGTCCTCAAGAAGGTGAGTCAGGCCAGGGGGAGAAACGGGGAGTCCTGGCACCATGACACTGCCCGAGTCCTCGTCGGGTAGCCCCAAAATAGAGGGAACCCAATGAATTTGGAGAACCCCTATCAGGTTGTAAGCACATACAACACAAACCCAGATAGTCTTAAGGGCTGGAAATTGTGAGGTTTTCTCCAAATCTAACCGAAAACATGGGCTTTGCCACAGTCCTTGTTTCTTCACCTCTTTTCACCGAATACGTGGTGTCTCTCCAGGACGTGGACTGTCTCTACCTGACCAAGGAGGAGCTGGAGGTGAGAGTGGGCCTCCTGCGGCAGCAGCTGGAGTTCCTGAAGTGCATCTACGCCGAGGTAAGAGCTCCCGGCTCCCTGTCTGCTGCCCCCCGAGCTCTTACACCAAACCTAAATGCAGGGAAAGGGGTCTTTTCTAAAAATCCTGAAATTGCATCCCAAAAATCGATATCTCTTTCTATGTATTTGACAACAAGACTGTTGCACACATTTTGGGAAGGCAAAGGGAGTTCTTGGTTGTCTCCCATATGGCTGGCTGCAAAGGGAGGGATCTTTCGCACACAAAAGCCCCTCAAATCCTAATCCAAACCATCCCTGCGAACTGCTGAAACATTTCACTCCTCAAAACCCAAATATTTTTGGCACTTCACCTTTTAAGCTACATTAGTCAAAATATTTTGCTGAAAGTAACACTTTTGTCTAAAATAGGGCAAGTTTTTAACAAAACACACAGGGAAGGCTTTGTATTTGCCCCTTTTCTAGCCAAACAGCTCCCAGCAGCCTGTAGGCAATGGGGCCCAAAGCACGCACCCCTGAGGGATTCACAGCCCAGAACACTGCTGATGCAGCCAGAAACACCAAGTCGCAACGAAGCGAGTTGCTCCACCGGGATTCCCCACCCTTCCTTGGGGAATTGCATGCAGCAATCCCATATTGTGCCACCAAAACAGCTCCCAGCTGCCAGCTTTTGCTGGAAACCAGTCACCCACCTGGGCAACCCCATGTTCTAGTTGGGTGTTAATGGGAGAACCTCCCCCAGCCCTCCACCTTCTCACCAGACCCCCTTTGCCAGGGGTACCTGCATGCCCGGCTTGGGCTGGTTGAGGGAAGGGGACTGACATGCGATGGATCTTGCAGGAGAGAGCTCAGCTGGATTGCCAGCTGTGTGACACCTCTGTCATCGTGCAAATGGACAACAGCCGGGACCTGGACATGGAGGGCATCATCAAAAGTGTTGAGTGCTGCTATGAGGAGATTGCCCAGAAGAGCAAGGCTGAAGTGGAGGCTTTCTACCAAACCAGAGTGAGTATTCACACCACCAGCACAGATGGCAATGAAATCCCTTGGCCAACAAAACTCTGAGGACCATTTCTGTCCTCCATGACACAACTTAAACCACCCCACAGTTTGCATGCACTGTAGCTTGCTAAAGAAAGTAATGCCCCCCCCCCCCCCCAAAACCCCACCCTCCCCCCCCCAAACCCCAACCTTAAAACTGTGGTTTAAGACTTCTCTGTAAAAACAGAGCACAGCAGATCACAGTGGTGCTTCAGAGAGGTCTCCTCTCTGCACACCCACCAGGAACACCATCCCCTTCCCAAAGGGCAAATGCTCAGGACCTACCTGGGACTGTTGTCTTGTCTGGGCTGAGGTCATGTCTGGGTGCTTCCCCAGGAGCACCGACGTCAGCGTGGCTCCGGAGAGCTGCCACCTTCCCTGGAAGGGGCGATTCGGGTGCACTAACGTCATCCTCTTCCCGCGCAATAGCTGGAGGAGCTCCACAGCAGCAGGGGCAAGTTCTGTGATGACCTGAGAAACAACCAGAGCGAGATAGCCGAGCTGAACCGGATGATCCAGAAGCTGCAGTGTGAGTCGGATAATGTGAAGAAACAGGTAGGACGAAGGGTTGAATGCTGCCTGGGTAGCGGGGTGTGCAACTTCTCCAGCAAAGGGCTTCATCCCTTTGCAAAGAACCCCTTCACCCCAGCTTAAGCCTGTATTTGTAGCTTCTCATCTGCTGTCGATACACAAAGAAGCAGATTTATTTCTCACTTAGCAAATACGCAGAAGCCAATTGGTTTGGGTATATCAGAAACAGCATTTGCTGTATGCTTCCTGCTGGGGTGCAGCCAACAGGTCCCCTTCATCCCAAATAGCTTGGCCATCACATGTGTCCAGCCTAAATCTAGGCTTTCTGGCAGTTCCTAGCTGAGAAACATGGGGGTACATCAGCAACCCTGTGGAGATGCCTCTTAATATCACCACTGGCCACCCTCTTGCCCGTTACTGTCCACAGATTGCAGCTCTGCAGACGGCCATCTGCGACGCTGAGCAGCGGGGCGACTGCGCCCTCAAAGATGCCCGGCAAAAGCTGATCGACCTGCAGACTGCACTGCAGCAAGCCAAGGACAAGATGGCATGCTTGCTGAGAGACTACCAGGAGCTGCTGAACGTCAAGCTGGCCCTGGACATTGAGATTGCCACTTACAGGACACTGCTGGAAGGAGAGGAGAGCAGGTAGGAGCATCCCTGGCTGCACCTTGTAACGATAGCTGGCAAAACCCACTGGGAGGAGAGAGACGCAGTGAGAAATGCAGGGTGGAGGCAGCTCCCCATGGGTGCAGAGAGGACCATTGGTCCCGTTCCCTCCTCATCCTCCCAGGGCAGCTGGATCGCAGCACAGCAAGCATGCTGCGGTCAGATCCCCTGCTTGCGGTACAGAAAGAGGATGGGACATTAAGGTGTCTGTGGGATTTGGGGATCCAAGCCCGCAGTGCTTCGGTGGGCAATTTGGACCAGCACCTCACACCTGGGTGCACAGAAAAGCAGGGTTCCTAAGGAGGCAATGACCTATTTGCTTCTGTATTTGGGGAATATTTCCCTAAATACATCTTTGAGACATTCCTTTTCTTAAACAGGATATGTACCGGCAACCCTGTGAGCGTAGGTAAGCTAATGAAGCATTCCCTTAATTTCCTTACAAGTCTTTTAAGCTTATAACTTTCCTTATAAGCTGGGTTTTAGCTGCTCTGGGAGTGACTGAGCCTGTTTTTCTCCCACAGCTGTGGTCAGCGGCGGTGGCACCGTTGGGGAGTGCCGATCCCTATCTGGAATTGGAGGCAAATGTGCCGTCAAGACCGGAGGGGCTGGCCCGGGGATAGGGGTGATCTCCTCCTTCGGTGTCGGCGGTGCCAGCTTTAGCACCCGGAGCGTAGATTGCCTCCCGAGGGTGGGGGGTGGATTTGGGGCGAGGAGCGCGGTCAGCTGCGTGGGGCGAGAAGTCATCTCCGGTGCAGAGGGGGTGCAGTGTGCCACTGGCGTGGGCAACCTGGGGAACGTCGTGTGCGCTGGCGTGGAGCAGTGCAGCCCGGGAGCCGTCATCATTCCTGGGGCAGGGGTCTGCGGCACCGGGAGCAGGTACAGCACAGCTGTGCGCGTGGTCAGAACAACCCGGTAGAGACCGGAGGGTAACAAGACATCATATTTTAAAATAATCAGCATTTCTGCAATAAAACAGTATTCCCCTTCCTTCTGACAGCTACAGGGATCACACAACCATGCGCTGCCCATGTCCACACAATTAGGCTAGTTGCTCTGCCGAAAACTCTTTGCATGATCAAAACCCACCTTCTCTTGCATGCCCTGTTGGGGGGGAACTTACCCCCACGGTCTCAGCCAGGGAGATTTTCATTTCAGAGAGTCCATACCTGTCTTCAGACATCATCTTGGCTCTTAAATCAGTCTTCTCTGCTTGACCCCTTTTCAGCA